CCAGCCGGCGGCCCCCGCCCCCGGTGGGGCCCCATCCTGCGCCCGGTAACCGGTAACGGTCGGTCCCCGCCCGCCCGGGTAAAGCAGAGGAGGCCGAGAGCACCTTGTACAAAACCGGTCTCTTTATTGCTCGTTTGTTTTCTTTACAAAGGGGGACGGTAACAGCCCTTTCGTCAGAGCCCGAGGGGACGGGCGCCGCGCAGTTCTGCGGAGCGCAAGGGTTTAAACGCGCGGACGCCGCTTTCTCCAGAGCGACTCGGGGGACGGGGAGAAGCGTACGCTTTAAAAAACGAAAGTCAGTAGTCATCTTCAATATTCAACGCACACAAAATTTGAGCTGTTTCCTTTCCATAGGATCGCTTCTAAAAACCACATGTTCGCTGCTCTACGCCACCACCCTGCAAATATTGCTAACGTGCATGCTGGAAGTATAAAAACTCTATTAAAAGGCACCATTTTCAGCATAGTTTTAGTTCACGCGTACAGCTTCAAATACAACGCAGTAGGTCGCTCGCTCTCGGATGAGTTCATCCCCTGGATTCCCTCCGAACGCGGCCCACCCCAGCCCTGCGCCGCCTGGGGAGGCTCCCACCGGCGCCTGCCTCCTCCCGCTGCAAAGCTCGTCCTTACGGACAGACAGCCAGCCCAAACCGAGTCCGATACAACAGAAATTAGGAAGTGATGATCTTGGAACAAACAGAAGACCCCCCCAAATATGCCTGGTGATATTCTAGGTGCCGTTTTACATATTTTAATAGTGTTATAAACCTTAGTCTAAGTTTATGGGAAACCACAGGAATTCAAGTATTTTATTACTGCAAATGCAAACACTATATATATATATATTTATATATGTATATACAGAGGAAAAGATTATTTTTTTTTTTTGGCAATATTATGGGGGTTTTAACAGATTGAGTTTGTACTCGGTAGCTAGCACGAAGTGAAAAAGCCAAGCACTCCTTTCAGTACTTACTTCGCTTTTAGCAAGTTTGTGCAACCGATTTCTATTTGTGACCACCAGCGTCCAGTTTCTACCCCCGGCACAACGGCATCCCGCCGAACAGACCTCCTCTCCCCGGCCAGCACACCAAATGCGAAACGCTCCTTCGCAGAAAGGGTTTGAAAGTCTCGTTTAGTCGGGGGTGTAGAAACGGAGGGCAGTCCAATCTAACGCTAGTTAGCCCGTACGCATCCTGACTGACACTAAAACGGGTCGAGGATTAGGTGAAAAGATCGCAACAGGTTTCTGTTTCAAGGGCTCGGAGCAGCCCAGGCGGTCTAGGCAGAATTTTTTGCTTCTTAGCGTTCGGCAGGGACTGCTACTCAGTCTAAGACCCAAATTAAAACCCAAGAGCACCCCGTTTTTTAAAAACCAAAATATGGCCACGTCTTCTCGTACCTTCATTTTCACTGCCCGTTCACGGTATTAGTGGACATTAGTAGAGGATTCTCATTTAGCAACTCACCATTACTAATTCAAAATCATTAAACTTAGTGCTCATACAGCACAGCTTAGTGTCAGTCAGCATGAAAGTAAGAGTTTAAGTGCATTATTACATATCAATAAACATATATACATGCATAAACATGTTTACAATATATTTATCTTCCTCTGAAAAAGTACACGGATACCTTATTTCACTTGTGCCATTCATGTGTAAGTGGATAACATGTTCCAGTCCATGCAAAGTGATTTTAAATTAATTGGCCAGATTTCCTTGTTTTGAAAACGGTATGGGTGACGTCAATTCTTCACCGTACGTTTAGAAAGACGACAACGAATCGGACAATTTCATCATTAGGGCTCATCGCAGAACTGGGGAAACCAAAAGCAACTCCCAAGTGCTGTACTTTAAAGATTATTTAGCTGCAGGCCGCTCCACTTCCAGCTGGACAGCCCTGCTGCAGTTTACAAAGCCACAATACTCAGATCTAAGAACGGGTTAGATGTTTTCAGTTCCTGTAGCTTTGGTAGAGGTATTTAGTTTAAAGTTTTACATTCCTCGTTTCGATATCTCGTTTGCCTCGTCCCAGGCTGCAGAAGGAAGGCTTTCCGGGATTACCACGGGCCACTCAACGCGAGAAGGATAACTGCAATTTCAGCTCTGTCTCAGTGAGCAGGTCAGCTCACGTGAAGGCCCCAAAGAAGCCGAAAGCTATTTGGGAGGCAAAGGTGCCGGTCGGGAAGGGAAATACTGTCCCTGAGGTAAACATTTTTGCTGTGATGGAGGAGGTCCCCGAGGTGCACACTTCTGTTGCGGAGGCGGCGGCCTACAAGGGGACAGAGAAGCCGTCAGTCCAGGCGGCCGCATCCAGTACGCGCGTCCCGCTCCCCCTCGCCCGGCGCTAGCACCGCGGCCGCTGCGGAGCCTCCCCCCGCCCAGTCACGCTGCTTCTCGCCATCTCAGCTCCACGTTCATTTCGAACGTGCCGTGGTCAGACTCTGCTTTCCACCACCCGAAATCCTCAGGGAACCCCCATTTGTTAACGCATCATTTTTCCCAAAATAGCATAAAGACCCCTGCGAGTTTCCCATCGACACAGGCTATTTTGAAGTTCTCCCTCTCGATTCCTTGCGCTTTCTGGATACGCATGTTTCATGGCATAGGCTTCACATCTTAGACATATAATTAAAAAGTAAAATGAAAAATAAAGGAAAACTTTCTGTTCAAAGTTAACGAGAAGTTATCCTGTACGTGGCGATAACATTCACCAATCAGCAAAATGACAGATTTTTGAGTCATTTCTTTTTAAACTGCATATTTTGAGAAGCATTTTATTCACCTGTACGCAGGGCTAATATGGCCCCAGAAAAGCATTCTGAAACCTGTTACCCAAAATGCAGCCACGACAGTGTGGAAAATGAATGCTATGGGTAGCGGCACTTCGGTTCCACGGCGCGAAATGAAGGAGAAAAACTTATTTCGATAAAAGGTCAGGCCTGCTTGCATGCGATACGTGATGAAATACCCTAACGCTTGCAGAGATGAAGGCAGTGACCATCTGTACACATCGGTGCAACTGCCAGTAGTTATTTGGAATAACTCAACCCACCTTGTCGGCAGCTTCTGTGGCTGTGGTGCCCGGTATTGCGGAGGTGGGTAGTAAGACTGGTGGTAAGCCTGCTGAGGATGCTGGTTAACTGGGTAAGATGGAACGGGAAAGGTATTTGGTTCCGTATCCTACGAAGAAAACGTAACGAGAACGTTCACAAATTTGCGCTTAGGGAATTGAAATATTTGTTTCCTTAGTTAAGTGACGTTTAAGACCACTTGCAAACAAAGCTGGGAATGTCAGAGTTGCTCTTTCCTTCTGAGAAACTCAGTAGAAAGAAGCAACAGCAGTCTGAAAAGCACTCTATTTTGGAAAAAAACAAAAAGGCTGATCATGACAAGCGTTCGATGTGTTCTGCCAGCGTGCTTTGCTTAGTTATTGGAGTCAGAGAGAGAACTGGTCTGCAAAGGAGCGCGGCCAGGGAGCTGGCAAGGATTGCTCCTTTCCTCGGGTGGGGCGGGGGGTTCCAGCGTAAGGGAAAGGGGGTAGCAAAGCGGGTGACCTGCTTGCCAAGCCAAGCACAGCCCCTGAAAAAGCTTAAACAGTGGGAAACAGAGGAGTTCCCCCCCCCCCCACCATAGGAAATAATTATTCGCTTTGCCTCTCAGAAAGGAGAAAGCCCGATGTGCAGAAATGAAAAAATAAAGTAGCTTTGAAGCTTTTATTAGGGCAAAAATTATAAACTGCCTACGAATAAAGTAATGAAAAGTAGATTACTCCTACCACAGGTGCGCCTCGCGGAGCATAAGGCATGCCGTGTGAAAAGCCTCTGGGGTGGTAGTCTCTCGGTTCGGTTTCTGTCCTAGGAGGTGGCGACTGAAGTGACCTGAAATCCAGTTGATGTGGACTGCGTGAGCACATAACCTCGACAGCACGACTCTGCAGGCTATGAATCCAAGCACTTCGAACCCGCTAGATGGATTTATACTATCTTAGCACATATCAAGCGTTGGGAAGACAGTATTTGCCACAAATCTAATAAACATAACCCTTTTTCTGTTTAGGACTAGGACAGCTTTATTTTGCCACTTTATACCAAAGATGAGACCCAAAAATATAAAACGCATCGCCAGTGCATGACAACAAACATGATGGTAAAAAGAAAGTTCTCTGCTCCCTCAATTTAAGATGAATTTATCTCTTCTGTCGTTGCCCGGGGCAAGCTACATGCGTCATTTGATGCAGAGGCCTTGGCTGCTGTCTTGGACCGGAATATGCCTCCCTACTTTGGCGTTGGCTTGTGTAAACAAACGTCTGTGGACTACTTGGAAAGGGCAGAGGAGAAGGTAAAAAGGAGGCTGTACTTACGAATGGCAGCGTGACATTAATCTTCTATAGCATCGCTTCAGCCTGTCTCTTTTTGCAAATGCCAGAGCAGCAGCTATAAGGAGTGGGAGGATCAGGAAAAAAAATACCAGCAGCCCATTTCTCAGCGAGGTGTCGTCGTCTGATGGGGACAAAACGACAGAGAAGAAAAAAAAAGTATTACATGGCATTAGCACCACTTGACTCACTGCAGCAGTGAAGATTTGGTAGGATTGGTTCTACAACTATTTTCCATTTTTAGCAGAAGAAAAAACTAAAGAATCGAGTAAGACTGCAAGATATATGCCCAAATATATTCTTTTCCGATTATCTTTTCACAGGGGTTGTCTGGTCAAAGATGGAAGAACTGTACGTGCCATGGAACCCTGGGCTCTAACAGCATATTGAATTACTACATCAATACCTGATTTTTCTTCCACCACATTACTGTGAAGATCTTATGAGCTCAGCTGAAAGAGAGGAAAACAGAGCTTCTGCCCTTTGGTCTGATCCTAAATCTTCCTCTTCTCCTACCATTGTTTGCAGTAGGCAAGGAACTCAGGTTCTCAACAATCTCTACGTTTTTATATGCAGCAAATTTCTCCACTGCAGGCTGTACAAAAAACCCTTTCCCTTTTTTTGTCTGATGATTCGAGGCATCTGTCCATGCTTCAACATGATTCTCCAGTCTTTTATTGCATCAGCATAGTGCCTAGCTTCCCCTAAAACCCACATCACCTTATGAAAAAGGGTCTTCAGGATCATTCTTGCAGCTCGTAGAACGGACTACATCAATCCCATCTTTATACACTCCACACGGGCATTGCACAAGTTTTCTCCAAATTATAGCTCGGACTTGGCTTCCTATTTCATCTCCAGACTCTCAGTGAGAAAAGTAAGCTTCACAGTCTCTTTCAGCTTGCTTTCTCGGGTGCATGAGTTGTGCTTTCCTGCCCCAGGCACCATTTTCCCACTCTCCACATTCAAACATAGATACATATATCTTCCAAGTACACAGATACATCATCTTGCCACGTCAAACGTTGACCTAGCGCCTTTCCCGCGGGAAAAACCACAAAATTCCCTCCCCAACGTGTCTTTTCCCTTCACAAAAACAAAAAGCAAACTGGAATCTGCAAACAATGTGGTGTCACAAGCCTCTGTATCTCCCCGTTTCTTCATCACGTACCTCTCTTCTATACTGCAAGTTGTTTGGGGCAGGGACTACATTTGCATTTACTACCAAACGAAGCATGCTGTCTGCACTCAAATGATAAACATTAATAAAAGAGTGACTTGTCAGCACGCGTTGCCCTAGCCCACCTCGGCCAGATGTTAGTCCTGACTGCACTGCAGGTGCACGTGCGACTACCCGCAGATACCAGAACAGGGCAGCTACTCATCTCTGCCACCACTGCTGGGAGCAGCACGTCCTTATGGAGCTGCAGATTCACAGCCATGGATTTGAACCCACATCCTCAGCCAAATTTCATGTTTTGTTTAGATCTAAGAATGGAAGGGGCTTCAGTTCCCGGCTTGGACACAGAGAAGTCCAAGAGGATCTTGGTCCAAGGTGGCAGAAGTCACCTGAAGGCCATTAAAGCTGCCCAGTTTCTTTACAGATCCCCAGCATCCCAAAAGAGAGAAGTGCAACACCTTGAGCCCAAAACCTTAACTTGAACTGTTTGCAAACGAAACCTGGTGGAGGGCCAGCCACCAGCACTTCAGCCACCAGAAATCAGCTGCTTCAGAGCCATCGGGCACTCTGCACTAACTCAGCACCACCCACCCTTAGCAGGACAGGCCCACAGCTCTGGAGCTGCCTTACAGCTACTTGCCTTTATAGGGCCCGCTGTCCAGGCTTCCTCCGTAGCCTTTAGTGTCACAGTACGGGGGGGCCCAGCCCGCTTCACAGTGACAGTTCCCGTTGTTATTGCACACCTGTATTTGACCAACGCAAACATCACAGCAAGGGCTATTTAGTAACTTACATTTCTGTATATTTAACAGCAGCGTGCAGTAGCCACGGCCATCTATTCTGTCCCTTCCACGTCACTCAGCCTGGAGAACTTTAACCAGTAACTCCCACATCAATTCTAAATACTCCTTGGCCAGGCGTCTCAAGATTTCACATGACTGAGCAAGCACAGCATTGGTCAGGACGAGCTTCCAAAGATCAGCTATCCCAATGGCTTAAAGAGCATGGCTGTTGGCGTGCAGTAGCCACGGCCATCTATTCTGTCCCTTCCACGTCACTCAGCCTGGAGAACTTTAACCAGTAACTCCCACATCAATTCTAAATACTCCTTGGCCAGGCGTCTCAAGATTTCACATGACTGAGCAAGCACAGCATTGGTCAGGACGAGCTTCCAAAGATCAGCTATCCCAATGGCTTAAAGAGCATGGCTGTTGCTTTTTTTTTTTTCCCCCCCTTTTTTTTTTTTTTTGG